ATCCCAGCCCACAAAGACGCTGCTTTGGCCCCACCAAGAGGGCTCCAGACACATACTGTCTCACCCAGCGGTTCCATCACAGCCCCCTCTTTGCCTCCAGCTGCCAGCAAAGGGGAACAAGAGAGAATGAGCCACAGCAGGGAAGGGAAGGAATTCAGGAACTAGAACAGGAGGGTGACATTTTGTTTTTTAAAAGAGCAGTCTTTCCTTTTACTTCTGTTTAACATTGTCTGTGGGTTTTTTCCTCCACCTTTCTCCAGATTCCCAATTTCCGAAAGCACTAAAGGAACCCCTTCGCTCTGTGAGTTAAGATAGTTGATAAGTGATGTGGGAGAATGCACTCTAATTAGGTCCTTGGTTAACCTACCCCTGACTTAACAGAGGGAGGCTGTTTGGTTACAAATAGTTTTTATTCTACTAAATCAGAGGCTTCTCACACTGTGTCATCTGCCTGCAAATTAGCTAGAGGCACAAACTTTGCATTATGCAAAGTACTTATTCTCACAATTAATATGCTGGAAAGTGTGGTTTCACACTTTTCTGCCAGCACAGGGGTTCTCACCCAGGAGTGAACGAGATCACCTGGGGAGCTTTTACAAAATACCCAAGACTTGTCCTTCCTCCTCCCCACGCTGCCCCACAGCTGTGAGATGTGGGGTCCCAACCCCCCAGTAACCCCAGTATCACCACTTCTTATTACTTCCTCAGAGTCTTCTTATTAAATATTTCAAATCCCTTTTTTTCTTTTTTCTTTTTTTTTTTTTGCTTGACAAAATCCAGTGACCAATTTGCTTTTTTAACATTTTATTCATTTTATTATGGAAAATTTCAAATGTATAGAAAGTAAGCAGTGTAGCATACTGGACCCCATGCACCCTCACCCAGCTCCAACAGTGATCATCAACATTCTGCCATTCTTGCTTCACCTATAGCTGGATAATTGTTGTCATTATTTTTGACTAATTCCATTTTGTTTCATAGATAGCATAGCCTGAGCGCTGAAAATTGGTTGTGCGTTTGTACTGCATATTGAATTGATTGTGTGCAAGGCACTTCCCACACTTTATCGCACTTAATCTGCACAGCACCCGTAGGCATTGTTACCCACATTTTTAACAATGGAAACTGAAGCTCTAAGAAATCACACACCTGCCCAAAGTCTCCCAGACAGTAAGTGCTCAAGCAAGAATTCATACTCAGAAGTGTTTGAAAAGCATTCTTTTCCCCCAAGCTACACTTCAGAAAAATAAAGTCCATGAAAAAAATGTATAGTTAAAAGTTTTGTAGCATGAATAGATGCATAGCTATTTGATAAATCACATATGTTATAATAATGTTAAAAGCTGGATGGTAAGTATATGGATATTCAGTGTAAAATTATGAAAACTGTGTTTGAAATTGTTCATAATAAAATGTTGGGAGGTTTCCAACAAAAGCAAACTTTGTCTTAACTATCAAGCATTGGACAAGACAAACAAGCTATTTTCAGATACCTATCCTGTTGATATCCGCTTCAAAGAGAGCTTTGAGACTTGGTTGAATTTTGACTTTAAAAATAGTAAACCAAATGGAAGCCAAAAACTATCTGAGACAGGTTTCAATCAATTCAGAAGTTTTTTTTTGCCAAGGTTAAGGAACATGACCCATGACATAGCTTCAGGAGGTCCTGAGAACATGTACCCAGGGTAGCTGGGTTACAGCTTGATTTTATACATTTTATAGAGACGGAAGTTACAGACAAAGACATAAACCCACATACATTGGTTTGGCCAGCAAGGCTGGACATCTCGAAGGCAGTGTGTGTGTTCATGGAGGGGGTGACTTCCAGGTCGTAGGTAGATTTAAATATTTCCAGATTGACAGTTGGTTCAAAGAATGAAGCTTTGCCTGAAGAGTTGAAATCAGATTGAGGTAAGTGGGGTCAGGGGGCCTGGAAGATAAAATTCTTGTCATGTGGATGAAACCTCCAAGAAGCAGGCTTTGGAGAGCATACATGTAAATGTCTCTTATCAAAGGTGTCAGAGTCACAGGAGAGACCTAGGAAGGGAAGGAGATTCTCACCTGTATCCAGCCATTTGAATGCGAGGATCTTTTAGTTATCTGTGGTGGCAGGTGGTAGATATCCAGATATCACAAAAATTATGCATGGACTTTTTGTTTGTTTTAGCTCATCAGCTATCATTAGTATATTTTATGTGTGGCCCAGGGAAGAAAAAGGGTTGGACACCCCTGCATGCAAACTTCCCCCACAAGAGACATCTCTGCAAGGCCATTTCAAAATACATCAAGGAAATATATTTTAGGGTAAAATACTTTGATTTCCTTTTGGGGCCTGTTATCTGTCATGTGATGTTATGCTAGTGTCAGGTTGGAGTTAGTATCATATTGCTATAAGAGCCTGTTCTGTCAGCCTTAGGGTCTCTGTTTTAATGTTCATGCCAGCCAGTTGTGCCTGAACTCCAAAGGGAGGAGGGTATAATGAGGCAGATCTGACCCCCACCTTCTCTTCATGGCCTGAACTAGTTTTCCAGGTTTATTTGAATCCCCATGGTCAAGAGGAGGGTCCACTTAGTCACTTGGGGGGCTTAGAATTTTATTGTGGTTTACAATAAGATAGAGCTTACTTAGAGGTGTAAGTAATCATCATTAACTGGTGAGGTCTTAGAGAACTCAGAAAACCAGATTCAGAAGCAAAGCCTCTCCCAGGGTGGCCCCCAGCTGTGGCCAACAACTCAGGAAGCGTCCTCACCGCTGCTGCTCGTAGAAAGCCAGAGCCAGACAAAATGAACAAGTTATTTTTTCCAGTTCAGGCCACTTAGGTAGGATTCCATGATGATTTCTTTTTTACCATTTACCCAAAGGAACATTTTGCATACATACAGCCTACGTGTTGAAGCTGTTCCTTCTCACGGAAGGGCATAACCAATTTCTTCACATAAAAAACATCGAGCCACCCACACTCCTCCATGATGTAATGCAGGTCCTGCTTTGATGGTGAGCTGACCAGGGATGCTTAGCAGTCTCAGCACTGGGAGTGGTGATTGGAGGCAGATAGCCTGTCCAGGGGATTCTCAAGAGCATTTTTTTTTTTTTGCGAAAGGTATAAGGAGACCCTGGGCAAGCAGCTAGCAGCCCTCTTTTGCAACCATGCAGAGTCCCAGAGGTCCCAGCAGCCACCGTTTTTCCTCTTAAGCTTGGCTGCCATGGCTGCATCCACTCCACCCTTCAGTGCTTGAAGCCAAGTGGTTGTGGCCCTGGAAGGCTCTGCCCTTCTGGTTTTAGACTGCTGTGGAGGAAGGAGCCACTTGGAGATACAAAGCCCACCTCTCCAGAATCTTCCAGGGTCCCCACAAATTATAAAACTATGGTCACACCAGGAAACCAAGGCATTTTCAATAACAACCTTTCCTACTGATTTTCAGCTTCACCTTCCAGAATTCCAGTGCACTGCCATTCATACCATTCATTAACTATTCTTTCACTAGACCACAAGCAGGTATAAAGCCACAAGGAGGAATCCATCTCATGAGTTAACTACTCCATCAGCTTCCTTCACCCTGAAATCTTTTGGCAGTACAGGCTAGAAGGAAGAGCAGGCTTTGCAGTCAGACCGGGGAATGAATCCCAACGTCGTCATTACTGGCTGCAAGATTTTGGGAAAGTGGCTTAACTGCTTTCAGTCCAGCTCACAGGATTAATGTCAGGTTTGAACTCAGATAAAGTATGTGAAGGCTCCCTGCCAAGTCTCTGGCTTGTAACAAGTGCCACCAAGTGCTGGTGTCCTTTTTCTGTTTTATGTATGTTGAGTTGTAGATATCTGCTGTCAGGCCCTGTCCGTGCCACTGGCTGGTGATGTGAACACACCTTGTGTCTTTGCATCTCTGCACCTCAGTTTCATCATCTGACAGTGAACTGCCTGTTCTTCAAGATGTGGAGTTTTTAAAATTATACGATTTAGTTGCACCTTAGGGGATCCCTCTGATTATGGAGGCACAGTAAGGTCCTGAGCGTAGGTGGTCAGCAGCCCAGAAAGGGAGAAGGCCAGGGGCAGACTGGAGAATGGGACTAGTGAGATTCAGATAGAAAGAGCAGGGGCAAAATGGTTAAAGTGAGACTGGAATCAAAAGGTTGGCATAGTTTATTGGCATGCAATAAACTATGATTGCACTTAAGTTTTTAAAAACCAAAGGTGATTTAGTTACCCCACAGTGAGGAACATGGGTGCCTATGTCTCCAGTCACTTCTCTTCAGGAAACCTAATTGCAGCCTGGGCTCCGAGCAACTCCCAGCTTGGGGAGGGCCATAGGCTTCTTTGTGTGAGGAGCGCACTGCAGCATTCCTGCCCACACACGCCACTGCTGCCTTTCTCCTGAGAATGAGTTCCGTTATTATTTCATGTGACCTCACAGCCAGGAGAGCTGGATTGCTGTTTTGCATAACACACATTAAATTTGTTGTTAGATGTGCTGTTGAGCCTTGCCTGTGGATCTTCTGTCCTCCTTGTCAGTCCCTGCCTGCTGCAGCCATCCAGGCACTTAGGACGCTTATCTTTTTCTCTACAGCTGCAAGGAGCCCAGTAGTTGGGTTTCCTTAAATGCAAGCAGATGGAAGTGAGCAGGAGTGTGGAGGCAATTAGAGGATTTCCTCCTCCAAGCAGCGCGGGTTTGCTCTCTCTTTGGGTGTGTGGCTGTTCTTGCTCATTTTAATTTTCCATTTGGGTTTTGTCAGGCTGTCAGCTTTTTTTCCTGACTGTATTATGCTGCTGGTTGCAGGAGTTTGCAAAATGGGGTGATTTGGTTGCTTATTGTTTGGAATCAAACTTTTCACAGTAAGGTATGGGTGATGCATATCATAATGATGATGACACTTCATATTTGTAAAATATTCTGCAACTTAAAGAATGTTTTCACATACACCACTGTCTCATTTGGTCTGGACAGAGGCCCAGAAAAAAAAAATGAAGGCTCTACTCAGTCTGCTGGTGTCAAAGTTTTCCCTTATCTTTTTACGCCATCTCTAGTCAAACCACGGTGGAGAGAGTAATGAAATGAAAACTGAAGCCTTCTGCTTTAATTCTTGTCTCCTTCTCCTTTCAGTCAGTCAAATATTTTTCAAACACTTTCTGAATGCACTGTTAGATTCTCTGGCGACAATTAAATAATCGTAGCAGATAATCGTTGCCGTTGGGGAGCTTTCAATGTAGGTGGGGAAACAAGACATACAACAATGAGTTTACGTAACAGTACCTGGCACACGGAAGGCACTAAGGAACTAGGTGCTGAATGAGCGGGTGAGTAAAGGAATGTAGAACATAGCCTACCAAAGTCCCAAAGGGCAAGAATCCTTAGGGGGGAACCAAAAGATCCACAGTCCTTGATGAGAATGGGCACTGAGGGTGCAGCACCCTCTGAGTGCCTGGGTGCCTGGGAGTGAGCAGGCGAGAGGACCCGGCACCCTTGTGGACAGCCTCCATTCGGTTAGCACCATTCCATGAGGGCTGAAGTAAAGAGGAAGCCATTTGTTTATGAGCTGAGAAGAGTGAGCAGGAAAAATGCCATTCTTTGCTTTTAAGGATGAGACAAGCATAAACAGAGAGGCAGACAGGTAGACCAGAAGGAAGAGATTGCTCACAAAATTATTGTCAGAAAAAGTGCCAGTGAAATCACTCCACCTTCAAAGATCTATGTCCTGGTTTTGAGAACCCACTATATTGTAGACCTGTGCCAGAAGCCAGAAGAAGGCAATGGGGAGAATCAAAGAGATTCTTGGCCCTAACCCTTACGAGATGCTGCCATGCACAGGAAACAGTTAAATAATTTGACTGTCTCACCTACAAATGATCAAGTGTTGGGTATAAGCCAAGGAGCTGAGAGAGGGGGAGACCAGCACAGGCCTGAGGAGCTGAGAAGGGAGGCTTATGTGAAGGGTAAGACTCTCATGGGCCTGGCCAGTGGACAAGATGTGGGAACTGCATGGACAGTTATGTGGAGGTGTATTCCATCGTGGCTGGAGAGTGTGTGAGGGATAGTGGGAGATTGGTGGAAAAAATATAGGCCACTGGTGTTGAAGGCTGGGAGGCCACGCTTCAGAGCAGAGAAAGTTGCTAATCAGAGAAGCGACATTCTGGAGGTGGTAAGTGGAACTTTGTTCATGCCCAGAATTTTCATTCCTGTCCTGCTGTCCTAAATGCTGGGCCACAGTCTGCACTGTCCCCTGCTGATGGTATGAGAGTAAGCCAAAGGAAGGAAGCGTCTTCTTGGGATGGCACTGAGCGTTTTCAGTGTCTCCTCGGGGCACCGAGCCATGCCCCAGGGCAAATGCCCAGTGGAGAACAGGAGTTCAGGAGAAAAGGTCATTCTCCAGTCTAACAGTCAGCAGGACACTTGGCTTTTGTTGGGTGTTTTCACTGCCATGAAACTATACTTAGTTTGTGAATGTTTTGGTGACCACCAAAAATGTGTATGATGTGAATTCTAGGCATTTTCATTATGGTGGATTTTTAAAAATAATGTCCACATTAATATACACCCCTAATGTAAAGTCCTTAAAGATACAGAACACACAGAACAAAGCAAAAGTCACCTATTATCCCGTCACACAGAGATAGTCACGCACATCATTAGTATTTTGTTGAATGTCCTTTCCCGGTGCAAATTTAGGAATTTTTTAAAAAATGGTTTCAAATTGGACTTAATGTTTTATATCCTGCTTTGTTTTAACTTAGCAGTGCACTGTGAATATTTTTTCGTCACTAAATTTATGTTGCAATATGATTTTAGTGCTATATACTATTCCATTATAGGTATGTACTGTGTTTAATCAATCAAATAGAAAATCAGTCTACTATCTTTGCTTATTTTGGTGTTTCCAGTGAGTTAGGCTTTTAACATATTTTTAAAAACAACATCAGAATCTAGTATTTTCAGATAACCATGTTTTTATTGAGTAAATTGCCCAGTAAGATCCAAGTGAATATAGAACATTCTCTACCCTTTTATCTCATTTTTATTGTCACTTCATTAAAAATGGTAATAAGTCGACCCCTCTGTGGAAAAAAGAAATAATACATGCCATAGTTTCCTTCTCTAAGACTGTTGAAAACATGAGCTGACCAGGCCCCCATGCCGATGGACATACCTGAGTATAGTGTAAGAGTGTAGGAAACTCAATTGGATCAAGAAGTTCTTAGAATTTAAATGACATCCTGCGTTTGGTTGTGGTGAAATTTCAACAGAAGTAACTCTACCTATTATCTTCATATAAATGAAGAACCAAGCATTCAAGAGCTTTCTTAAGATCTTTGCCTACCTCTTGACCAACGTCTCCCTTCATAGCATCCATCTCCTTCCTGATGTGGGATGCCGTTTTGGAGGGCCGCTTCCTGCTGACTTTATTAGAATAAGCTGTGTAGAAGAGAAGGTGTCAGCCATGTTTTCCCTTTGAGGCAGAGTTTGATTTGCAGAGGCCGGGCCTTCCTGCTTATGTGTCTTTCCAGTAAATAAGTGTGATTCACCACAGTTCAGAGTAACCCCATCTGCAACACCTCATTTTTTTTTTAAGTGAAATTTTTCAATGGGAATAGAATAGAGAGGAATCCTGTAGGTCTTCCATGAAATTATACTCCCTGCCTCTCAGAGTTTTACAATATAATTAGGTTACTTGTTTTTTCTTAAATTTTTTTATTGTGCTGTGCTTATCTGGATGAGGTGCCTGTTGAAGAGCAGGAGATGAAGGTCAAGAAATATAAGCACAGTGCTCAAGATTTTTTAATTACTTTGTCTTACTGTTGCTCGTGGATAGAAATACAGTTTTTCATATTAAACTAATACTTAGACGTTTGCTGAAACCTCTTATGAATTCTAATAATTTATCTGTATTTCTCTTAGGTTTTCTGTATAACAAACATACCATCTGTAAATAATTACAAGTTTGAGTTCTTTTTCAATCTTTTATCTTTTATGTATTTATTTTTTCTTTTCCTACCACTCTGTCTAGGACCTGCCGGAAATAGCGCAGGGGATAGGAAATAGGGATAGCATAGATTCTTAGCTTGTTCCTGATTTTAAAGGGAAGGCTGTTAGCATTTCACCATTGAGTATGGTGCCTACTGCTGGGTTTTGGTAAATACTTTCTATCAGATTATGAGGGTTCCCTTCTGACCCTAGTTTGCTAAAAGTTTCTATTTTAAAAAATTGTAAATGTGTTAATTATTACTGAATGCCCTTTCTGTATCTATTGATAAGATCATCAGGGTTTTCTCTTTTAATCTGATAGTACAGGAATTATTGTCATCCACTTTTTAAATTTAAATTGTCCTTGCATTATTAGCAAAAATCCACATTAGTCGTGATATATTTTATGCACTGTTGGGTTCTCTTTGCTGATATTTTATTTAGGATTGTTACATTTGTATTTATATCTACAAGTGGTCCATACTTTTCCTTTTTCCTGCCATCTTGGATTTGGTTCTGAGATTGTCCTAGTGCTTTTCCATTTTCTATCTCCTGCATTTTTTTTGTTTTGTTTTGTTTTGGCTTTTTGCTTTGATCTAAAACACAGATTTTATTTTTTTTCTATAAAACCATCTGAACCTAGTGTTTATTGGTTTTTGGATTTTTTTGGGTGGAGGGATGAGCAGCTTTTTAACTAATGAATCAGTTTTTTAAATGGTTATTAGACTATTCAGATTCCTCTCTTGTTAGAATAATAATTTGAATTTTTCTGTGATAGTCTTTTTTTTTTTTTTTTGAGACGGAGTCTCACTCTGTTGCCCAGGCTGGAGTGCAGTGGCCGGATCTCAGCTCACTGCAAGCTCCGCCTCCCGGGTTCACGCCATTCTCCTGCCTCAGCCTCCCGAGTAGCTGGGACTATAGGCGCCGACCACATTGCCCGGCTATTTTTTTGTATTTTTTAGTAGAGACGGGGTTTCACCGTGTTTCCAGGATGGTCTCGATCTCCTGACCTCGTGATCCACCCATCTCGGCCTCCCAAAGTGCTGGGATTACAGGCTTGAGCCACCGTGCCCGGCCTAATATTCTTTATTTCATTGAAATTTTCAAACTTAATGGCACATATTGCTTCATAGTAGTGTGCTGTTATTTAATCCTTGCTGAATCTGTAGTTATGTTCTCTCATTCATTCCTAATGTTATTATTTGTACCATCTCTGTGTTTTTCTTGATCAGATTTGATTTGTCTCTTGTTAGTCTTTCCAAACAAATAGCTTTTCCTTTGTTCATCTTCTCTAGTGTATCTTTGTTTTCTGATTTTAATTTCTACCCTTTATTATTTTCTTCTGCTTTCTTTGGACGTACTTTTATTTACTTTCTGACTTCATGAGTTGCATACTTGTTCATTAATTCTCAGTCCTTTTTTTCTTTCTAGGACAAGATTTAAGTATTTTATTCTAAATAAAACTATAGTGGAATCTGATACATTCTAATATGGAGTATTTTTATCATCCCTCAGTTATAAGAATGTTGTAATTACCATAATTATTTCTTCTTTGATTCATGAGTTTTATTAGCAGCATCATTTTAAATTCCCAAATGAATGAGTCTTTAGTAATCATTTGGTTATGGATTTCTAACTTTAAAAATCTATTGTGGTCTGGGAATGTTGTTTGTATGATACTATTTCCACAAAATGCATTGAGACTTGGTTTGTGGCCTAGTACATGGTCAATTCTTTTTAAATATTCCATGAATTTCTTTAGTGCATATTCTCTGATGGGGGCTGTGGGGACAGAGTTCTAAATATGCCCATTAGATTAAACCTCTTCATTTCATTGCTCACATCTTCTGTATCCGTATTAATCCGTCAGTCTCTTCAAGAGAGGTGTTATTAAAATCTCTCACTGTATGTGTCACTTTGCCCTTAAAATTCTGATGATTTGCTTTATAAATGGTTATAACCATTTTCCAGAAAGAATATTAAAGAACTTTCCATTGGTATTATCCGCTTTCCCTCAAAATATGGGTTTTGTTTTTTTTTTAATTTTGGCTTCTAAGCAACCATGAATCCAGTTTCTCAGAAGCCCTTGTCTCAAGGCATTTGTTTCCAGAGCCTTACCTTGTTAGTGTCCACACTATGGGCTATTTTAGAAAAACAAAAAAAGTATCAAAATCATGTAGCTATGATTTTCCTATGCTTGAAGGAGCCTTAAAGCTCATCTAGTCCAGCCAGTATTTGTTTACAAATTCTGCCAAGAAATCTCTGTTGTCAAGGTATTCTTTATCATCTTTAGGACATTCTCATTATTAGAAACAAATCCTAAGAAGAAATTCTGCCATGTAACACCCATCCATTGTTTAAAAAAAAAAAAAAAAAAAAAAGCTTAAAATCTCTTGTCTAAGCACAACAATTTCCAGTGTTTGTATTAGTTTTTCTCAACAGAATTTCAGGCCCTTTTAACATCGTATTACTGCTAACAAGTTCTAAATTCTGTGTTGTCATGCTTTGAGAGGCTATCAGATTATACACACACATACTCGGGGGGGTGTGTTTGTATGTTTGTGTTTAGGAATGTTTTAGTGGGCTTCTATTAAGGAAGCCTTTCAGGAAGCTACTCTGTACTGAGGCCAAAACCAACTGAACCCGTCATACGATTTCTCTCCCTCAAGGAAAGCAAATGAGAATGAGTGACTGTGACCCTTGCCTGTTGTTTATAAGCATGTACACCAGGATCTGTGTGATCCTTTTCCTGGAGATAAACAGCATACTGCTCAAGGAAGGAAAACAACGCATAGCAACAAATTTCCTGTTTTTTAAAGAAAGATCCAACTTGGTTTAGAAATTATGCTGGCTTTCTTTCTATGTTTCTAATAGAGAATAAGGAGAAACTTGCTTCTTATTTGCCGACATGAGGTAAGTGTTATGTCTGAAAGTTCCAGAGATCATAGTTTATACACTGAGGAAAGGTAGTAAAAGGTTTGCAAAGACCTCCTTCCCCGTGGGAGAGGTGCCCTACTGTGCATGCAGGGAGTTGGCTGTGGGTCATGGGCACAGTACCCTTCACCCAAATGATTCTTTCCAACCTCAAGAAAGCAAACCCCAACTTGGGGCCCAGAACTATTCATACAGTGGAAGAGTTCCACGTTCAGACAGACGATAAAAGAAATATCTTCATATTGC